CTACCTGAGTGCTCTTACAGCACCTATTGCACCTGGCAAGGTACCGATCTGTGTTGTCTGTCGCCTCCTCCTGATGCCAGCTCCATCAGGCGGGGCTTTGTTTTGTGCACTGCTGTTTACCCAGCGCCTAGAACAATGTCCAGCACAAAATTTTTTCTTTAATGATAAAAGAACTACAACTTCCAAAGAGTCAGCGTTGATTGGGCCCCGGGCCCCAGGTCCCAGAGCTCCCCAGCACCCACAGCGGATGGTCCAGCCTCTTCCCATGGCTACAAGGTCTCAGCACTTGCCCCCACCTCCTCCTTTCTGTCCCTTTTCCCTGTCTCAAGGCCAGTGCACATGCCTTCCTCTGGCCACGATCACACTCCCCCTTGCACCAGCTAAGATGTTCCTTTCTGGGGGGAAGCCTGCCGCCCCCTTGGTGGCCAAATCAGATGACCCTGCTCTTCTTTCATCAACAGCCAGCCACCTCTTGCCTTGAATATTGGGGGTCCAGCCTCTGGGCCAGCCATTGTTGGGGGGCAGGTGGGGAGGCTGGGAGAGAGAGGACAGCCAGAGCTAAGAGTATGGGACACTTTTCCCGGCAGCCCCTAGGCTAAGCTTTCCTCCTCCATCGTGTCACCAAGTCCTCCCAGCCATTCTCTGGGACAGGTGCCATCATGATCATCACCCCACTTTACAGATGAGGTGACCTGAGGCCCAGAGAGAGGTGTCATAGAGCTCATAAACAGTAGAAGAGGGATTTGAACCCAGGCTGGCTCCAGAGCCCATACGTCTAACCACTCCTTGCGCAGGGCCTGGGGTGTGGGTGTGGGTGGCAAGTCTCCCTTATAAGGGGTGTAGGAATTAGAGCCACTTGGAAATGTATCTTTTCTAGTCTTGTGAGTAAAAAAGGGACAAAAAGTAGCCCAGCCCTCACACCCACGAGGCTCACAGGATTCACAGAAGGGCCACTATAAGAGTTAATATATTTATTTGCAACCTTTGGACCTCAGTTTCCCCACCTGTAAATGGGTATGTGTGTGTGGACTGAATGGCCCAATAACAGAACATCTCCCTGAGGGCCATTAGAGGGATGAATTGAGTCACTGCAGGTACAGGGTTCAGGACCGTGCCTGGCACAGAGTAAGTTCTCAATGTTGTTAATGTTATTATTCTCTCAAATGTTAGGTTAGAGATAAATGGTCCTTAGCTCTTTCTCCGGTGTCAACAAAGATGCACCAGGCTGCCCCAGGCTGTCCCAGGCACTGTCCCGGTCCTTTAGTCAGAGTAGTTCCTCTTTTATGAGTTTCACCCAGTGCGTAATCTGCACAAGATTCTCATCAAGGATGCTCTAAGCATTGTCCTGCCTCAGGGCCTTTGCACATGCTGTCTCCTGTAGCTGGAGGGCTCTTTTCCCAGAGAGCCAATAGGCTCAATCTCTCCATTCAGGTCTTGCTGGAAGTCCTCAGAGAAGCCCTTCCTGAATCCCGTTTATACAGCCCCCTTCTATTACTTGATCATCTTCTTAATATGGTTTACTCCTCATCTTAGTACTTATTACCTCCTGCTATACAATCTGTTTTGGGGGTTACTTGTTTGGGGTCTGTTTCCTTCAACTACAACGTCGGCTCCATAAGGAAAGGGAATTTGTCTTTCTCTCCGCAGAATTTCCAGCATCTACCATAGTACCTGCCTTGAAGAGGCTCTCCATAAGTATTTGTTGAACAAATGAATAAATGAAGTGGTTGCACAGCTTCTGAAAAAATGTTCGCCATCTCTCATCCGGTTCAATGGGGCCATCTCCCCACAGATAGGCACACTGAGGTTTGATTCAAATTAAGAACAAGGGTCCCAAGTGATTGTGTTTCTTTTCTGCTTCAGACATTTTCATGCCTCCCGAATACCCTCAAGATGAAGTCCAAAATCCTGACCTTGACTTACAAACTACATGGAATCTACTTCTGGCATACCCATGAACTCTCAGTCAATATTAACTGTTGTTATTGCTGGGCGATCTGGCCTAATGGTTAGGTTAAGCGCATGGACTCTACTATCTACTTCCTGTGTGACCTTGGGTGGGCAAATGAACCTCTCTGAACTGCCTTGTCTAATCATATCCATGTCCTTACCTTTTTCAAAATCTTTCAGTGGCTTCTCATAGCCCTCAGGCTAAAATCCAAACTCCTTGCCTTAGCCTAAAGGTCCAGTATGGCCTGGCCTTTGCTGACCTCTCTGATCTCATCTCAAAACATTTCTTTTCTTCCATCTTTCTGCCCCCACCAACTTCTTTTAGTTTCCCCGACTGGCCAAGCTTTCTTGCCTCCAAGCCATTGCACATGCTGTTCCCTCTGTAAGAAACACTTTTCCAGCTCTTCTTCATTCTTACTCTTTGTGTCTCAGCTCTGATGTCCCCTCCTCCAGGAAGCCCCACTCCATACCCTCCACTCCACCCTCCAGTAAGGCTCCCCTTCTGGGTTCCCCCACCCCAGCCCTGCTTGTCCTGAGTCATCACTGCGTCCCCCACTGGACTGTCTCAGTCACAGATGTGTCCCCAACAGCACCCAGCGCTGGGGGAACAGCTGTAGAAGAAATAATTCCGAGTCAAAGCTAAGCAGAAAGTCTCTGTAGTCAGCTCTCCACATCTCTGCTCAAGGCATGACCTTGGGAAAGTTACCAGATGTCTCCGAATATTTCATTTATGAAATGGTGAAATAGTACCTACCTCGTAACACTGACAATTCTATCAAGAACTAACAGGGAGCGTTCAGGACATGCTGGACCAAGCAATTCACCCATATTAACTCACTTAATCTGCACAACCCTTTGAGTGGGGACTGTTTTCAGCTCCATTTTACAGATGCAGAAACTGACACGAAGTAACTTACTCGGGGGACAAGAGAGTGGCAAAGTTGTGATTGGAGCCCACACAGTCTGTCTCCAGAGTCCCTACCCTACCCTGCATTTAAGGAAATCCCGCATGTTCTGATGATCGCAGGCGTGGACTCGGGCCAGGCCTCCTAGGTCTGCCATTCCCGACTCTGACAGTCACTAGCTGTGGGACCTGAGGGAAGTCATTTCGTTTTTCTGAGCTTCGGTTTCCCCAGCTGTGAAATGGGAGTAACAACAGCGCCCACCTCACAGGGCTGTAGTGAGGATCTGATGATCCACATGAAGGACCTGGAAAATCGTGGGGCCCACAGGAGATCTTGTGAATGTTTGCTCTTGCTCAGGCGATGGTGAAGGAACTCACCTGCACGTCGGTCCTCCCTGCGGTCCTCAGACAACACATAGCGTTGGGTGCAGGCGCTTGCAGCGGGTGGCTGTGAGGAGGGGGCCGCAGGGGGCTCCTCGGCCCCAGCACCAGCCCCTGGCCCCGACACACCCGGCCCCAGGATGGCAAAAATGGTCTCCTCCTCCGCGGAGAAGGCGTCCTCGGCAGTGAGCCCGGCGCCCTGCGTGGAGTGCGGCACGCGGGCCAGCTTCTCCTTGGTGCGGCGCTTCAAGTCGTTCCAGCGCTTCTGCACCTCCTGGCCCGTGCGCTTCCAGCTGGTGATGCCGTTGATCTTGGCGGCGATGCCGTCCCACACGCGCCGCCGCTCCGCCACGCTCACCCGACGGCTCTGCGCGCCGTAGAGCTGCGCGTAGTGGGCGCGCACCTCCCGGATCAGGATTTGGTTCTCTTCGAACGAAAAGCGCGGCTTGCGCAGCCGGGTGGTTTCTTCCGCTTCGCCCGCCGCCGCCGCCGCCGCCGCCGAGGCCATGGCGCCCCCCAACGCCGCGGTCCGGCCACCTGGCGCATGGGGGGCGCCGGCGCTGCGGGCAAAGGGCGCACGACTCTGGCGGGGGCTCGGCGTCCCCGCGCCGCAGCCCCGACCCGGCCGCTCGGACACCGGCTCCTACATCCCTGGGGCAGGGGTGGGGACAGCGGACGGGGCCAGGAGCGGGCGACCGGCTGCTGGGGGCAGTCGGAAGAGCCTAAGAATAGCTGACAGCGGCTGAGTGCTCATCTTGCGCTGTGCGCGGCGCGGCGCGAAGTGCCACGCCAAGGAGTTGACGGAAATTGGGGGAGGGTCTGAAAGGATGGAGGGAAATGAGGAAAAGTGGAAGAGGAGGAGGCGTCTGCAGGAGTTAGCGGAGAAGAGGGGCTTAGGAGAGCAGGAAATGGAAGGAGAACGGGTGTGTCTCGGGGGTCGAAGCAGCATGGGGTAAGGAGATGTTGAAGGGGCCAATGCAGCGAGAAGGGGGATCTGGAGCAGAGGAGCGCTCTGGGGGTTCCGGGGGCAATGGGACGTCTGTAAGACCGAAGGGCCCTGAGAAGGGACGTCCAGGGATAATGCTGAGGTGGGAGCTCCTGGGTCAGTGGAAGAGCTGGGACGGTGAAATATTAGCGATCAGGGTCCGCGGGGATTGTGGGGGCTCTGGGGATAACGCAGGTCCGGGATCAGGAGACAACGAAGGCTACGGAGGGACTCCAGGAGGAGTGAGGGTCGAAGAGGGTGGGGACCGAGTCGGGCCACGGGTCACTCACCGGCGCCGCCGCAGCCGCCGGGGGGTCAGGGCTCCGGCTTCTGCGGCCTCTTCCCTCCCCCTTGCCTCTCTCCCTCCCCTCTTTGGGCCCCGCCTCTGGCCGCCCAGCTCGCCAAGGCGCATGCGCGCCTGGCGCCAGTCGGCCCCAGCGGCCTCACGACTGGGGTTTCCTTCCCGCCTCCCCCAGCAGAGCGCAAGCGCAGAATTGCCCTCCGCCGGGCTCTCCCCCGTAGGCTGCAGCTGCGCAGCCGCACGATTTGCGCTGCACTCGAGCCCCAGACCTCCCGGTTGCCACCACGGCGCACGCGCAAAACTCTGTAGCGCGCAAAAGCTCCCTCGCTCCCCGCTGGTCGTGGTACCCGGGCCTCTGTCCCCGCGCAGGCGTAGCAATCCTTGGAGGAGGCGGGAGAGATGCTCCAGAGCGCGCTAGGACCGAGCGGCGTCCCGGCCCTTCCCAGAGTCTTCTAGGCCACCCCGCCTTCTAACTACGCTCGAGTCTCTTTCTTTTAGAGTAAGGGGAGCTTTAGCGCTTTAGGGAAGCGCTTGGTGTCCATGACAACTGCGTGGGTGGGGTGGGGGGGGCGTAAGGAAACAGCGTCGCCTCCTATCATCCCCGCCCCCGCGCTAGGCCACCCGAGAACTGTTAACTACCTCTTACCCGGAGAGGCGGGGCGCCCTGGGGCTATTCCGCCCTAGGCGGATGCAGTAACCATAGCAACCCATCAGCCTTCCAGTCAAGCCTGGGTGGGGCCCCCCTCAGTCCACACTTTCACTTCGTGGCGCGGGGAGGGAGATCAGAAGGGAGAGTTTCTTAGCGGGTAGGGAGGGTGATCCTGGCGCTGGCACGACTTTAAGCAAATGCGAAGAACACCGGTTGGGTGAGCTGGATAGGAGGATTATGGAGTTAAGTCTGGCTGAAAAATTGGTTGTTTAGCATCCTGCCGGAGTCTTCAAGGTTATTCAACAAACGGTGCTTCATTCATCTATTCAACAGATATTTATGAACGCTTACACAGTTCCTGGTGCAACGAACATAAAATCCCTACGCTCACAGAGCTCACTTTTTAGTTGTGAAAAACAGACAAGAAACAAATAAGATGGGTATGTGAGCAATTGATAAATATCATAAAGGAAATGGAAGTAGGAAAGGGGGTTGAGAATGGAAGTGTTTGTGTGTATGTGTGTGTGTGTGTGTGTGTGTGTGTGTGTGCGCACACCTAATGTTAAAATAAGGAGGTCGGCAGAGGAGGCCTCCCTGAGCACGTGCAGCCAGAGATGGGACTGTGCCTGCTGTCTTCCAGGAACAGCCAGGAGGCCAGTGGGGCTGGAGTGGAAGGGGCCGGGGAGAGTAGGAGCCAGATGGTGCAGGGCTTTGTGGGTCACTGTCAAGATTTTGACCTGTACTCTGTGAGAGGTGAGAGCCACGGGAGCCATGGGAGATCCCTGAGCAGAGGAGGGATGTGATCTGACTTTGGTTTAAATGGGGAGCTGACTTCAGGGAGTGAGGGTGGAAGCTGGGTGCCCAGTGAGGAGGAGACTACAGTGGTTCAGGTGAGAGGTGAGTTGAAATGGAATTGGAAATGGGATGTGAGAAAAAGGGAGGAGTCGAGGATGACTCCAATGTGTTTGACGTGAGTGACGGGAATGGAGCTGCCTGAATCGAGGCCGCAGGAGGATCCTGAGTTCAAGTTTGCCCAAACCTGAGATGCCCATCGCTTAACCAAGTGCACATGTTGGTAGGCAGTTGGATATTTGAGCCTGGACTTCAGGACAGAGGTCCAGTCTTGAGATACAAATTTGGGAGTTGTCAGTGCATAAGAGACATTTACGACTAGGAGAAGTTACAAAGGGGAGCAGATGTAGATAGAAAAGAGGTTCACGAGGCTGGGTGCAGTGGCTCATGCCTGTAATCCAAGCATTTTGGGAGGCCGAGGTGGGAGGATCACTTGAGGCCAGGAGTTCAAGACCAGCCTGAACAACATAGCGAGACCCTGTCTCTATAAAAAATTAAAAATTTAGCGGGGCGTGATGACGTGTGGTGTAGTCTACTCCCAGCTATTTGGGAGGCTGAGGTGGGAGGATCACTTGAGCCTAGGAGTTCAAGGTTGCAGTGAGCTATGATTGTGCCACTGCACTCTAGTCTGGGTGATAGAGTGAGACTCTGTCTCTCAAAAAAAAAAAAAAAGAAAGAAAATAAACGAAAAGAAAAGAAGTCTGCAGCTCCAGGCTGGGGCACTCCAGTACAGAGGCCTGGGGCCCGAATCAGCAAAGGAAACTGACCAAGAGCAGTCAGTGAAGTGGGAGGAGAACCGGGGCTGTGTGCTGGCCTGGAGGCCAACTGAAAGGTGTCACCAAGGGGGAGGGAAAGACCAATGGTGCCAAATGCTGCTTAGAGGCCAAGTTCAATGAAGACCAAGAACTGATCACTGGGGCTAGCCATATGGAAGTTATCAGTAATCTTGCAAACAGCAGTTTTTCCCCCAAACATCTCTTTTTTGGGGGAAAACAATTCAACCCATGACACCCATTGAGCACCTTGTGCTCATCTTATCCTAGCTGACCCCCTACCACACCTGGGACCAGGCACAGAGACCTGGATGTCACTGAGACGTCTCCATTCCCAGGGGCGTCTGGGGGCAGGCGGCATCCAGAATGCTGCTGGCTGCATGGGAGTCCGAGCTGAGGGGACCTTGAGTCTCCATGTGCTCTGGAGGTCGTGAGAAGCCTGGGGGTGGGGACCCCAGGCAGAGGCGTACAGAGCTCTACGTCTGTGACATTAAGAAACAAGTAATAGTACTTGACAACCACCGTTTGTCTTCTCCAGACCTCTCCTCTGGGCCCAGACCCAGGTGGCCAGCAGCCTCCTGGTCGCTCCACCTTGAATGTCCCCAGGCCCTAGAGATCCTTCACATCCCAGACTGACCTCAACATCTTCCCGGTCTTGCTTTTTCAGGCCTAAAGCTGCCTCCAGCCCCGCTGTCATCCTCCTGGGCGCTGAGGACACTGCCCTGTTGCTCTCCATGTACTGCTGACATCTCGTGAGAGCTCCGTCCCGTCAATGCACTCCCCGCCATCCCGGGTACAGAGAGAGAGGCCACGTGCTTCCTACCCGGGGCACCCCCTTGCTGGGATTATAAAGGGGCGACCCTCCCTCCAGGCAGACAGGGCGGCACACACGCGATTCTAGCCCCCACCTACTCTTGGGCTTGGTCCCCTTGTGCTGGGCTCAGCCTGCCCCGTGGCACACCACAGCTCTGGGCTTTTTCTTTCTACTGGATGGTTTAACTTGGGAGTCTCTGTAGCGGGCAGAGCTGCATTTTGGGAAAAGGAACTTAGGAGCAGAGGTCTTTGCCTTGGGTCTTTGGTTCTCTCTATAAGTAACGTGTGTGTGAGGGGGGTCCATGGGTGGATTTCGGAGTCTGAGAACACATCATCAAGGTCAAGTTCTCACCAGGGTCTGCAACATCCTCAACTGTCTGCCCATCCCATCTGCCTCTCTGATCTTCTCTCTTACTCAACTGGACTCCTGCTTATTCTGCGAACCTGCCAGGGCCTTTGAACTTGCTCTCGCCTCCGCCGGCGATGCCCTTCCTCCAGATCCTCCGGGTTTTCCCATTCCATCTGGACTCTGCTCCAGTGTCACCGCCACCTGACCACGCTGCGTAAAACAGCGTCTCCATCGGGCTCATACTTCGCAACCCATATTGATGGATCGATTGTCAGTCCCCCCAGCACTAGAATGTCAGCTCCATGAGGGCAGGGACCACGGTACCCCCAATGCCTAAAATAGTGCCTTGCACAACAAGGTAGGTATTCGATAAATATTTGTGTAATAATGGAATAAAAGAAACCCGGATATTATGTGCAACATTTAGTGCGTGTATGTGTTTCTCTGGGGTGCAGACCCCATTTTCAATACTTTCCCAGTGGGGTCCGGGAGCCCACAGTTTAAGAACTACCAAAAAATCAGTCTGGGAAGACCCGTGGCCCAGTAGGGCAGAAGGAGAACACATCCCAATTCCCAACAGGATAAGAAAAGGGAATCTGGGGTCAAGGCGGAGGCTGGGGAAGCGCTTGGGAACCAGCCCACAGGCCGGAGGATGTTTGGGGGCAGGTTGGGAGAGGAACCAAGGCCCCTTCCGCCCCACCTCCCTCTTCCTGTGAGTTAGGGCAAACGCACCTCCCGGCTCCCTCCCTGCGGAGCTGCCTAGGTCAAAGCCACGTGGGTGAGAAGGCAAAAACAGATACAGCGATTGCAAAGACAACTAGAAACGCTCTTTATTAACCAGAGCTCAACACGGGGCCCCCAGCCCTGAGGCCAAAACCGAACAACTTAAAATCTGACTGGGGCTTCTCTTTTCTTTGCCCCTTAAATAAAATCTAGGCCACTGCCCTTCCCCTTGGGGCACTCAAAACCCTTTCTTATGGGAGCTTCATCAACTTAAATGTTAGAGGATAAAAAACGCAGAAGAAAATAAAAAGACCTTTAGCTAACTATCATGATTTGGGGATGGTGGTGGCTGGGAGGTGGCGAAGAGATGCGCACCTCTCGCTGGGGGAAAGGACCCATGGGTGCTTTGGGGTTGGGGGCAGGAGCAGAGTGCAGTGGGCTGAACCGCGGGAAGAACCAGCAGCGGGTGTTGGAGGGTGTCAGCTCACAGCTCAGCCCCAGGTCTCCATCCGAGCCGAGCCGAGGCTGCAAAGTCATGGTGCCCTCCAACAGCTCCTGATGGTCCGGGTGCTGAGGGCAGGGAAGGAAGGAGCCAGTGTGGTCCGTGATGACGCTCTGGGTCCGCAGGTGGCCGAAGAGGGTGGAGAATCCCAAGCTGGCATCCCATCTTGAAGTTCTTCTGTAGGCAGGTCTGAGCCAGCCTTGCTCCAAATTGTGAGGACTGGCTTGGGACAGCACCATGGGGTCCCAGAGGCCCAAGGATCCAAGGAACAGAGAAGTCAAAGGGGCAGCGCTAGTGTCCCCAGCAGACCCTGGAAGTACTAAAGATCCATGAGCCGTGGCCCTGAGGGTGCCACAGGGCTGTGCGGTGAAAGGGGCAGGGCGCCCACTGCACCAAGGAGCCACAACACCCACAGGCCAGACTCCAAGGGCTGAGAGGTCCAAGGGGCAGGGCGGGCCTGGCTCCCAGCAGCCTTCACCATCTCAGGATCCAGCAAGGATGGAGCTCTGGGACCCCGAAATTCCAAAGGGCTGGGTGAGTCAAGGAGAGGGTTTCAGGTCGAGGCAGGGACTGAGCCAGGAGGGGCAGGTGTGTGGGTGGCCAGCACCTCACGGTCCTCAGCGCTTGACCTTGCGTCCGGCCGCGTTGCGCCCGCTGCGGCGGTAGAGAGACTGCTGGCCACCGTTGAGCGGGCAGTACTTGAGCGTGTGGGCCTGGCCACCGGTGGCCCCGCACACGGGACACACGTAGTGCCTCAGGATGGGACACAACACCACGCCCTCAGGTGTCTTCAGCTGGTGTGAGGAGTAGACGTGGCGGGACTCCCCGTTGTGCTTGCAGAAGTTGCACAGGGTGGCCGGGCCCCCGCCGGCCCCCGGGCCTCTCAGCCCCTGATCTCGCTCCAGCTGGGGTCTGAGACTTGGTTCCCCAACCCCTTGGGCCTCCAGCCTTTGCCTCCGACTCTGGATCAGCGCCAGGACCACCTGGCTCAGGTTGAAGTAGTCTCTCCACATGTCAAAGGGTGGCAGCTGCATGGCACCAGGGCAGGGGTGGCAGGAGGCTGGAGAGGGGCTGGGGCTGGGGCTGGGGGCCGGCGGGCAAGAGCAGCAGGCATCTGCTGGAGCAGAAAGGAGCTCCACGCCCCCCCCCTTTTATTCTCCCTAGAGACTATTCTAAGCAAAGGTGGAGCTTAGAATTTAAAGGGCCCATTCCCTGCCCTTGACCCCCATCTGATTCTAGCCCCCTATAGAAATGGAAGGAGGTCACCCCTCGGTCTCTGGTCCCTGCTCTGCCTCCAACGTGCTCTGTGTCTTCCAGAAAGACTCTTCCACTCTCTGGGCCTCAGTTTCCCTATCTGTTCCATGAAGGTCCGTGTCTGCAAATATCCTCTACCCTTGGCTGGAGGGGCTGCTCCTTTCATATACGCCAAGAGATTTCTAATAATAATAACAGCAAGGGTACTATGAGCCAGACTCTGTGCTGCACAGGTACCTGCACGATCCGGTTTAATCCTCACAACAGCTCCATGAGAGAAACAGTTATGGTCCCATTACATAGATGAGTAACTGAGGCTCAAAGAAGGAAGCGCATAGGCCCAGAGTCACATAGCACGGAAGTAGCAGAACTGGGTCTGTGGGACTCCAAAGCAAGTGTTCCTTCTACCTCTTTTGGATCAAAACTTTCTATTTCATCACGTCCTAAACTAGGAGCTCCTTATTTGATAAATTTTTGGGGGGTTCATACTATGGTGCTCAGTATTTTATAAACATGATTTCTTTGAACCTCATATCCACTCAAGGAGGTGGGTACTATAATTTCCATTTTACAGAGGAATGTATGAGGCTCAGAGAGGTTAAGGAATGTACTCAAGGTCACACAGCAGAGAGATGGCAGAGCTGGGTTTCGTACCCACTCTGGGAACTTAGAATGGAAGTTAGAAGCAGCATAGGACCTTGGCATGGGACAGTCTTACTTAGAATGTCCTCCCTTGGTCCCATCCATTGTCCCAACTCCGTCTTGACCTTTGGGACCAAGCAAAAGCCTTCCCTCCAACCCACTCCACCTCCAGGAATTCTTCCGCCACCAATGGTCTACACTGGTTGCCTTGATACTCAATGCATAGTCACTGAGGCCCCGTGTTGGGTGCTGGAAATTCAGCAGTGATCAAGGATACTTTCTGCCAGCGTCGTGAGCAATGAGTCTTGTGCAAAAACCCTAGAGGGCGAAGACCTAATTACCTGTGAACAAGGTGTTCTGGGCGTGGCTGGGCTGGGGACTGTGGCCTGGAAGCCGGGACCATAAAAAAAACCTTCTAGGAAGAGGAACGCAAGATATGGAGACCCTGAAGTTTGGGAACACAAAGGAGCTGGAGTGGCCACAACAGAGACGGTGTCCTAATATGAGGCCAGCATGGTTTGCAGGGGCTGGGCACCATCAGACGGTGGCTCTCCCTTAGGGCGTGTTTTGGAGTTGGTGGAGGCGCTTTGAGTTTGTCACAGTGACTGGGGGTGTGACTAGATCTGGTTGGGGATGCCAGATATCTCAGCCGTCCACACAACCACCAAAACCTGTCCTGGGCCCCACTTAACTTGCCAATGTCCCACTGGACACCCGTGTAGGTAGAAAAACCCATTTACAATTATCCGAATCCAGAACCTAGCTGTGTTTCACATGGAAACACTCAGTGCCTTTTGCAATATTTTAAGATAACACTAACTTTTCCTGGAATGCAATCACTGTGTTCACGGTGGCCTGCAAGTTCTTGAGTTTGGGGGGAGCTTTATGTAGTAATTCACCATTTCTAGAAGCCACAACCCTCAGACAATGCTGATTGTGGTATCTTTCCCCAAACAACACACCGTTTGTTCCTGTGTCATTCATGGTGAATCGACACAGAGACGCTAGTGTCTGTCTCATGAGATGGTTTTTGGAGTGGCCATGCCCGAGCATTTATGTACTAAAATAGATGTTATTTTATTATCAAGGGCTGTCTTTTTATTTTTCCTTTGTCGTTGAGTTAGGACATGATGTTAATTTTTGAAAATAAAATTCGTGTGTTGGTGGGCTGATTACCTATGAGTTTATTCTCAAGGTCCCAAATGGGCATTTCAAAATGGTGTCTAAAGTGGATGTTGGGTCTTATGGGGTTAAGATGGAGGCCAAGGTCAGCTTGTTGCTCTTTACCTTTAGAGCAAAAGGGAGCCACTGAAGGGGAGGGACGTAATGAGAGCTGTGTTTTAGGAAGGTCCTCTGGCCGCTGTTGATGGAATGGGGGCACTGGGTCTGTCCCCCCCGTCTCACGTTGTCGCTGTTTGGTCAGGGAGAAGACTGTTGAGCACTCCCTGATGGGAAAGGCTATGTCTTGCTTCCAGAAAGGGCTTGATAAATGCTCACTGGGTGAACGCATTGTCCCTGTGGATGGGCTTATGGTTGTGAGGTGACGAAAGGAGGAATTTGTAAACGTCACTGGAAAGATCTCCTTGTGATGTGATCTCCCAGCTTTCTGTAATTTCCTTGTGCATTAGTGATTTGGATAATGACTTGTTTGATGTCTGCCTTCCCTGGTGATCTGTTGGCCCCCAGAGGTCAGGGCCAGGGCTGTCTTGGTCACTGATGTGTCCCCAGCATTGCCCAGCATAGGGGTGGGCACAGAGTAGGGGACGTTAGTAGAACGAGTGAATGGAGAGGGGTAACTTGACTCTCCAGACAATTTGAAATCTCCTTGCTCTAAATGCCCACAGACCGATAACACATCTCTCACGTGGGTGATATCCACGTCTTGAATGCTTACGATGTCCTTCACTGTCCCGCTCTAACGTCTCGTCCTCCAGGAAGCCCTCCCTGACCCCCAGGCTGGGCCAGCTGACTTCTCTGGGTGACTCCATCCCATCCTTCCTCACTCCGACTCATCACTGACTCAGGACAGGTCTGTCTCTTTCTTTGGACTGTGAGCCCGTGAGGGCAGGGCCTGGGCTGTTCTCACAAGGCCCTTTGTGTGCCTCGTGTCATTTGTCCCTCCCTGCTTCCTTGAGTTAAGTACAGTCAGTGCTCTGTCTCCTCGGGCTCCACATCCACAGATTCAAGCAACCACGGATTGAAGATGTAGTTAAGCCTAGGATGGTCGTGTCTCTACTGGACATACACAGACTTTTCTTTCTCTTGTCATCATTCCCTAAACAATACAGTGTAGCTACTATTTACATGGCATTGACATTGTATTAGGTATCAGGAGTAATCGAGAGATGGCTTAAAGTTTATGGGAGGATGTGCATAGGTTATATGCAAATACTACACCAATTTATTTTATTTATTTTACTTTTTAGTGATGGAGTCTCTCTGTCACCCGGGCTGGAGTGCAGTGGCATGCAATCATAGCTCACTGCAGCTTCAAACTCCTGAGCTCAAGCGATCCTCCTGCCTCAGCTTCCCGAGTCTTGGGACTACAGGCCTGTGCCACCACGGCCCGCTAACTTTTAATTTTCAGAGAAGGGGTCTCGCTATGCTGCCCAGGCTAGTCTAGAACTGGCCTCAAGCGATCCTGCTACTTCAGCCTCTGGAGTAGCTGGGATTACAGGCACAAGCCACTGTGCCTGGCTAAGAGCCCCATTTTACAGATGAGCAAAGGGACGCTCAGAGAGGTTCAGGGACTTGTCCAGTGACATGGACAGGAAGTGGTAGACTGGAGCTCAAACCCAGGGCTGTCTGACCCAGACCCAGGACATCTCCCACCCCCTGTGAGCCAAGAGCCTGCCTAAGTGGTCAACAGAAAACAGAGGCGCTTGGGAGGACCTGCAAGGTATAGGGACAAACTGAGGTGGGGAAACCAGGGAGGAAGTGGGTATCTGAGTCACACAGCTTTTCACGGAGTGAACAGGTGAGACCTATCGGCCCGCGATGGCCGTACTCGGAGGCAGAAGAGACGGTGGTGTAAGTGCTTTCCACGCAGTCACAGATGTGACCTCAGCGTGGGCGGTGTGCACCCCTGCGTGCAGCAGGGCCTGGGCCTGGCGACCTAGCGGCTGCACCTGTGGCGCCCGCTGGACGTCAATGATGTAAGTGACAGGCCGGGTTTCCAGGTTCCACGACTCCCCTCGACAATTGCACTTATTGTTTGGAGGATCCCAGATTCCGTCCCTCGTGAGTCTGTTTCTTCTCTTTATAGTTTATTTTTACCCCTAATTGTTTCCTTCTAGGACTCTGTTATTTGGGCCGTGGCGCCCCTTCCTCCCCCTTCGGGTTCTATTGGATGATTCAGTTGAAGGACATCCCTCTTCAGACGAGGCCCCTTTCTGGGCGGTGGTTGCTGCTATCGGAAAGGCGAGGACGATACTAACGAGAAACTCATCAGCCCGGGTGTTTACTCCACCATGACTTCCACCCCCGTCCCAAGGCGGGACCCCTGTCTGCTAAGGAGACTGCAAGGTGCCCTGTTTACTTGTGAGTTTCCCTCTCAGAAAACAGCTCATGGTGGGGTCCAAAGAGGGGTGGGGAGGGGCATGGGTTAGAAACACCCCCCTCCCCGGCAGATGGAGGAGAGACCTGTCAACAGACGATGAGGACTTCCAGAGAGACAGAGGGATACATTCGTGCAGAGGCCAAGACTGGGGAGATGAAGACCAGGGGACAGAGAGACCCCCAGGGCCAGCAAAGTCATGGTCATGGTCATGGTCCTTGCCCTTGTGGTCTCCATTTGTGTGCTCACCTATGCGATCTCATTACATTTTCATGACAACCTTGTCAAGTATCTTGTAATAGCCCCAGTTTACAGAGCAGAAAACTGAGGCCCAGAGAGGTGACATTTGTCACTGATGTGCAGTTAGCCTGGACTCAAACCCAGGTCTTCAGAGAGAGGGAAGAGGGACAAGCTCACATTCATAGCTATCTAAGGAGACAGGCTACAGGAGAGAGAAAAGAAGAATACGCTGATAACAGGTATAGAGCTTGGGGGCGTGGCTACTGCAGCCAGAGGGCTTGGTTCAAATCCTTGCTCTGCCACTTCCAGCTGTGTGGCTTTGAGCAAGTGAGGTCACCTCTC